CCCTACCCACCCTACCCACCACACACACACACACACCCCGAAGGACCGTGCGGCTGGTGCAATGGACTGGAAGAACGCATCGATGAGCGGGAACCTGACGTGGGTGAAGGGTACGGCGGCGTCCTCGCCGACTCATGCAACTCTTTACTCTGAGCTTTCGCCAACACTTATCGTGGGCTTCACGCCGCATGATGGCGCCCCAGCTGACTACGTCAAGTTCTCCAATGTGGCCTCCGTGATGCACATGGCTCCGCACACCGTCCAACTGCGCCTTAGGGGAGCGGCGCAGCTCTCCTTAATCGCCCCCGACGCTGCGGCATGTCTTCAGTGGGTTGACGCCATTAATATCGCCTTATCTGGCACGCAGGGCGGCTCGGCGTCGGTGGGGAGAGTGGCGTCGGCAGTTGTCAGGCAGTCTCCACGAGAGCAAACTGTTTCCACGGCGGGGAGCGGCGTCGCCGGATTCTCCGCATGGAAAGAGCCGCAAAGAGTGCTTCATCCCAACGATGCAAGGAGTGTGAGCAGCGGAGCGCACGTGACGGAGCATGGCGAAAGTGTTCCTCTGAATGATGCCACGATGAGCTTAGAGAATGTGGGGGCCAACAGGGGGGTTGCAGTGCGGCGAGCACATGATACTAACCCGAATACCTCACAGTCCATGGTCAACTCCCTCGGTTTTGCTCATCCCCCGCAATCTTCTATGGTTCATCATGGCGTACCTGAACGGACCATGCTTCCACAGCGGGCAGAGGATGACACGTTTCTGCCACCTCCCGAAAGAGGTTTCAAGGAAGCTGCTGCGGTGAGCAGAACGACTGAGCCAAACTTGAGCCGCATCAGTTCAGATGTTGATACATCTTCGGAGATGCGAAAAGGAGCGGCCTTGTTTTCTGGAAACCTCTCTCAAAGAGAAAAACTTCCTTCTGCTTCGAGTAACTACACTTCTCAGTTAAAGCCTCCTATTTCAACACTCGGCCCTTCCGCCGTGGTCCCTTTGAGAGGAATGGAGAGCCGTCGACCCACTGTTTCCATGACTTCTGAAGATCGATGTGACATGGAACGAGGGGGCTCGCACACGGCGGACCTTCGTCCTCCAGAGCCACCGCATGGGCCATTGTCGTTTGACAAGGCAGGAATCGAGTTGTTTGGGTCCCGTTTGCCTGCCAAGGGTGAGTACTCCAGTCACCCTGAGGAAGTAGAAGCAAGAGGTGAAGATAAGAAGCTATCTCGTGGCGATGCTGCGCTTTCTGCGCCCCACGTTGACGCCGATGCAAGGAGCAACACTGTAAAACAGACGGTTGGGGTTCCATCGTCGAAGGAATTGCAGTCAGCTAACTATGCGGCGCCGGTCTCATTTCAGCACGGGGCGGCCACACCCGCTTTTGGGTCAGGTCGATTCCCTGAGAGAAAACCGACGCATGCCGACGCTGGCGTGACGAGGCAGGCCGTTCTTGGGGCGACGGAGGTAGAAGAAGCGTCAGGCAGGGACGCGTTGGCAGGCCCCCATAGCCGCCAAGTGAATGAATTTCTTCCTCCCCCCGCTTGGCAGTCGCGCGGCAATGCGAGGTCGCCGTTGAAGAGTAAAACCCCACCAGAGACATCGGGCGTGGATCGGCCGCGTGAGGGATACAGATACCACAGTAATCGTACGAAAAGTAGTACTCCTCAAACGACGTTGGCGGAGTCAATTATCGACCGAATTATTAACGTCTCTCCTCGTAGTGCTCCGTACGCGAAATCTTCTCCCGCAGTATTCTCGCCTGGGATTGACACTCCCTCTGTACGTTTGCCATTGCGAGAGAGGGACGGTTACTATCGCCCCATTGAAGCCGCCGTGGCGGTGATACCGCGAGACAGCGCATCTGGCGTTAGGGGCGTGTTGGGGCGGTCAAGCGGCATGAAGAGTGACTGGCCGCGAAACGTGACTGAACGCTGCCGCGCAAGCGATTTACTCCCTCCAAAACAATGGGGTGCGGGGCCTTCTATTGCTCCCAGATACACGGAACTGTACCGGGGAAGGAGCCCTCCTACGGTGCACAACGATGCGCGTGAGCGTCACACAGCGATGCAGTCGCCGGCTTATCGACGCCCGGCAGAGCACACATCTTATAGTGCCGCTCGGTCGTCCTCACTGAGTGGCGTAGGGGTTGTAAGGGGCGGACCGACATCACCTCGCTCGCGCCGTGAGAGCTTCCAAGGTGCGTCGTCGCGAGACTCCGGCAGGGTGTCAAGGCGGAAGAAATTGGGACGCAAGAGGAGGGGCGGGGCTCTACAGCCAGCTGCCCTCTTCCTGATGGAGCCCAGACTATTCAAGAAGCACACGATCCAGGGCCGCCGTGGCTCCGAACACTATGTGTGTATGACAGAAGACGGTGCATGTATTGTGTGCATTCCTGCGCGGGAATTTGAGACGCAGTATGCAAGGCGTCAGCGAAGGCTTGCTTCATTGGAGGAAGTGCTGTGCGTGTACGGCGATGGGTGTCGGGCAATGGAACTGAGAAGCATTGATCATGTCTCGCTTGGGATGGAGGAGGAATGGACGCACGGTTTGGATCTACAAGTTGTGGGGCTGGATAGACTCGTCTGCGTTGTGTCTCGTTCGCATGCCCTCCTTCTGGAGGCTGCTACAGCTGCTGGGGCAAATAATTTCGTGGAGGCGTTGAATGCGTGTCTGCTTGAATATGCCTAGAATTGCAGGCTACAATGCGGGAATGGAGACTGTTGGCAATTGTTTTTGAGTGGCAGCTTATGGATTGCTGCATCTGTCACATCTCGTACAGCCGTACGGGAGGGATGTGGGGATGTGGGGGTGGGAGAGGAGGCGATGCGGTTCTTTTTTTTTTGTTCTTCTTCTTGGTGCTCCGCACCGTCATCCGTCCCTGCTTTTTCGCGGTCCTTCACTTTTAAATGCTTCTCGGCGCATGTTTACCTCACTTGCTCTCCCTCGCTCTATAACCGGATGCCCTTTCGGTTTCTTCGTTTCATATGATGACTGTCGGTACTTTTTTTTTTTTGGTCTTACTACGGCGATGTTCTTCACCGTCCGCGCGTTTTCTGCTCTTCTTCGGTGGAGGTGCGGCTCTTGCTGTGGGGCTCAATGGATGAATGATGAGGGGGGGGGAACTGACGCAAGACACCGCAGACAGCAGCTACACAGAAACATGCCTCCACGCCTATGCGTGCCAGCAGGGCTACAGCGAATGCAGGGAGGAAAGGGGAACTGAATGACGCCAGGTGGGATGCAGGGAGCTTCTAGGCTTGAGTGCCTCGCTAACATCAATGCTCTTCTGTGTCACGCGCGCGTGCATACAAGTATACATGTTTCTCTGGCGCATGGTACGAGTTTGTCCATCGTTTATTGGTTGTGTTTGCCATTATATGTACATATGTATATATATATATATATCTGTGTATACAGTTACGTATTTCACCTGCGTGCTTTTGCTGCTTTCTTGTTTATTTTACTGCACACACAAACAAACAAACAACAAACTCAAGGGGTTGCGAATTGTGTTTTCCCATGTCAGCGTCAGCGTATCATGTGGCGAACCTTTTGCGACAAGACAAAAACGGTGTAGGCAGTGAAGTTGGGAGAAACACACTCGCAAAGCTCACACGGGATGTGGAGGCATTTTTGGCTCGTGCGGTGGATGTTCCCCCTGTCGTGATGGAGACGTCACACGAGGAGAGCGAGGCTGGGTCAATGGAGGTGCAGCTTAGCGTTGTGGCGGGTGTCTTGGAGCCACGCGAGCCTGCCAACAACGCCACGGCGGTTGACGGTGTCTTGCTGCCGACGGCGAAGAATCATGCGACGGTTGACCGGCAGCGGGTGCGTGAGGCGCAGGCGATGTTGAACCTTTTGAGCGCCCTCTCAACGAGTGGCGGCGCACCAGCTGTCTCTGTGGCTGCTAAACCACATCCTCAGGCCGCTGTGGAGGGTGAAGAAATGGACGGGGTGGAATCCGACGACGAATCCATTGCGGTGTTTGATGCCGACGAGCTGGCAAAGGACACGAGCTCTTCGGAGGACGAAAGTGACGCGCAAAGGCGGCCGCCGCCTCGCATATTGGAGTTGAACTGAGTTCTTACATCACCAGCCATAACACGGTGATGCGGCTGTTAAGTATATATGCATGCATGCATGCATACATACATACATTCTTCTTTGCATGTTATTCACCCCTCTCCACAGTGTAGTACACCCCCCGCTGCGGCTTGTCGTTTTTTTTTTGAGGGGGCTTCTTCCGTTTCTTCGCCATTCTTTCCGCACCTCACTTTTCCCGTGCCCCATTTTATTCTCTTGCCTGGGCCCAGTCACTTTCTCCGCAGAGGGAGCCGTAACAAGGGAAACACAGGAAAGCAGAGAGCATTCGTGGTAGTTATTTCGACCTTGAGCGTAGAGCCAGGAGAAGAACGTAGGAGCTGAAGGAAAACAAGAGGGAGGGAAGAAGTACGCAAGAAGGGGATTTTTTTTAAAAAAAGTGTGTGTGTGCGGGGGAAGACAGATGCGTCGCCTTACGAGTACCCCGCTCGCGGTGAACACGGCGGTGGCGTCCCTGCGCACGCTTTACAGCGCGGTGGTGGAGGACCACTACAACCACCCGCGGAACGTGGGAAAACTTGACAAGGCCGACCCGAACGTGGGCACGGGGCTCCGCGGCGCACCCGAGTGCGGTGACATGACACAGATGCAAGTGAAGGTGAACCCCGACACAGGGGTCATTGAAGATGTGAAGTTCAAAGCCTTTGGCTGCGGGAGCGCGATTGCCGCCTCCTCCTACGCGTCCCAAGCGATTAGAGGGAAGACTTTATCAGAGGCGCTGGAGCTGACGAACAAGAAAATAGCGCAAGAGCTTTCCCTTCCCCCCGTCAAGCTGCACTGCTCCATGCTGGCGCAGGAAACCATCCAGGCGGCGGTGGAGAACTATCTATCGAAGAACCCTTCGCTTAAGTCAAAGGTACAGAAGAAGAAAACGACGGAAGCCCCAAACCCCCTAAACTGAGAGCATACGCGACCCGTGGGTCGCACACAGCTGGTAAAGAGCTTGGAAGGGAAACTAAAATGAGAGAGAGAGTTTGGCTTTGTAACATACTTGGCTGCGAACTCCCTTCCCCATCAGTTTCTTGCCTTCTGTTTTTTTTTTCTGTCCCTGTTAACTATTCGATGCGATTCATTACTTGTTTAATTCATATTTCCTAGGACAGTTATATAAGTGCATCTTTACATGTGTTTCTATATATATATATATATATATATCTGCAACTCGCCGTGCATTCATCCATTTACCCCCTATCAACGTCACTACTAGTTGCGTCCTCCGCTGCTTCTGGTGACCCTATTGGTAATGACATATGCACAAGTAGACAGGGGGGGGGGGAAGTTTTTTTTTTTTTTGCTTCTATGTTCAAGCGGAAACGCATACAAGTAAAGAGTAAGGAGGGAAAAGATGGGGTGCAGTGAGAGGGGGACGAACGTAGTGGGACGAAATTGCGTTATATACTTCTCCTGTTTGGAGTGTATATTGTCATGAACGAGGAAGAAAGGTGTGTGTGCGTGTGTGTGGGTCTGCTTATGCACCTGTGCCGCTTTAGCATGTTTTGTTTTTTCCTCATTTGTTTGTTTGTTCTTTTTTCCCCCCATTTTTCACGCACCTTTGGCTCCCAGGCTCACACACTTCTTTTCGCCATGAATTGAGCGCCTTCTCGTTGGCCCGCTTGTTCTCTGGCTTCCGTTCTTATGGTGTTTTTCTTGCTGGAGTCCTTTCCGCCTGTGGTGTCTATGTGCGTGTGTGTTTGTATGTGCGTGCGATGGGGCATTGTTGCAAGCGGGAGAAATGAGAAGGAAGCCAAATAACTATATATATATATATGTGAAAGAGATGCGTCTGTGTCGTTCTTTGGATCTGCGTTGTCGCCGAGGGGCGACAAGGGTGGAGCGGGGAGCTGGCAGGCGCGCTGGTGCACCAGCGCGCAGGGACTTCTATAGTTATGTATAAGCACATGCGTTTTAAGTGGAGGAGCGAAGGTGGGGGGCAAACGACACCAACAGCGACCGAGAGAAAGGTGGTGAGGCCGAACTCCAGAAAAAGGCGTGGCGAAAATGACAATGAAAATGAAAATGAAAAAAAAATTAAAAGGGCTCAAGTCCATGACTTCATTGCTTGTGTGAAGCGCCAATAAGTGTAACTAAGCGCAAACTCACAAGGCATGGCCTTTTCACTCCAGTTGGCCTCCTTTGCTTCCCCCATTCTCTCGCTTCTCTTCTCCCCTTTTCGGTGTGTGTGTGTCGTTTTTTTTTTTTACTTCTCTCTTTGATTCCTTTTTTGCTGCTCATGTCTGGCAGCGGCAGTTCTGGGAGTGTGCCTGGCTGCGGCGGGATCTTGCTCCATCCCTTCCTCTCCTTGTTTTCCTTGCGGCTCTGCGTGTGTTTCTGCCTAGGCATAGGTCGCTCCCTGCCCCGAGAAGGGCCGAGAAGGAAGGAGCACGGAGGCAAGCGACGAAGAGAAACAACATCAACACAAGTAAGGCGTCGGGCCGCATAAGCGTCGCAACCGGAGATAGTTGGCCCGCCCCGTTGCATTTCTCGTCGTGTGTTTTGTTGTGTTGTGTGCGGGGACGTCATGTCTGTTATCCTCTCCACAACGAAGGGCAGCTTGCTCATTCACCTCCGCTGCCTGGACTGCCCCAAGGCGTGTTTTAACTTCCTCGCGCTTTGCGCCTCCTCTTACTATGACGGCTGCCGTTTTCACAGGTGCGTTGCGAACGCCTTCGTCCTGACAGGCGATCCCACCGGAACCGGGAAGGGCGGCGAGTCTGTGTTTGCGCCGGAGCAGCGGTATTTTGACGACGAGGGACTCGGAACTGTCCTCCACGACAGTCGCGGGGTTGTGTCCATGGCCCATAAGGGCAACAGACCAAATACGAATGCCTCTCAGTTCTTCATTATGTTTCAGCCCTGCCCGGCCCTTGACACGAAGCACACCGCGTTTGGATGTGTGGACTTGGCCTGGAACGATGGTGAGAGTGAGCGGACGCTCAAAAAGCTCGAGGAGCTGCGGGTAGATGAGAAGTACAACGTACTCGACGAGGGGGCGAGGATTCTTGGGGCAACGGTGCTGTACAATCCATTTGCTGAAGGCCACATTAAACTAGACGCTTAGCCGAAACGACTGCTGGGCGTTGCCCCTCGGCAACGGGGCGGTGGGTGCGCATTTTCTTGTTCTTGTCGCTGCGACTGTGTGCGCCGCAGAAGGGTGTTGGCGTGCTTGCCGGGTCACTCATCCGCGGCAGCGGCAGCCACAGGGGAGGAGGAGGAGGACGGGCGACAAGGAGGAGGAGCAAAGATCACACAAAACGGTCAAACACACCAACAAGGAACTAGCGTCTGTTCTCCTCCTTTTCTCTTTACTGCAGGCTTGCTGGCCAAAAGAAGAAAGCGAACAACAACAATAAAAGCAGCAGCAACAAAAACAACAACAAGGTCTGGGGATGCCCGACGATGGGATGAAGAGTAGTGGGTCAATGCGCAAGCGCCCACGGGACCCTCCGTTTGTTGCCGACTACCGCCCCTACACAGGGTGCCAACTGGCGCATGCACTGAAGGGAAAAACGACACACAAAGGAAACTGGGATATTTATTACCGCAACAATACAGTGAAGGGCTACCGCAATCGCCATTACATTATACGTGAATTTCACGAGCTCCGCGAGGCCCTTAATCGCCTTAAAGAAGGGTCTTCCTCGCCAGCAGTAGATCTTATTTGGATGGAGGTGGGTTGTGGCGTGGGCAACGCCATCCTCCCGATTCTTGAGGAGTATGGTGACGTCAATGGATGGCGTCTTGTTGCGTTTGATATCTCCTCTGTTGCAATTGAATTACTGCAGAAGAAGCGAAACGCCCTCCCCGAGTGTTGCCGGGGGAAACTTGCCGTGCGTGTTCTGGATCCAGTTGAGGAGGATATCCCCGTTGCGGGGGCCTCTTCTGGATGCCCGCTTGGCCTTGCTGCGGGCTCAGTTGGTTTTGTGTCGATGATCTTTGTGTTGTGCTCCATCCCGGTGGAGAAGCACCTACTTGTGCTGCGGCGTGTGGCACTCTGCATGGCCGAGGGGAGCGTCTTTTTTTTTCGCGACTACTGCATCGACGACCACGCAGAGAAACGGTTTGATCCCCGGCGTCAGTTGGAGGAAAACACCTTCACTCGCAGCAACGGAACCCTGAGCCACTTCTTTTCCCTTGCGGAGGTGCGGCGTTTGTTTCAAGGGTCCGGGTTTGAGGCGCTGGAGCTTCTAGTCGTTGAGCGAGAGGTGGTTAACAGGAAGCAGGGAGCCACCATGCGTCGAAAGTTCCTCCAAGGCCGCTTCCGCAAGTCGGGGAAGGGAGAAGAACAAAAGAGCTAGTGCTGCGGGCAAGGAATTTACTGCCTCGACTCGAGTAACCGAATGTGCTTCACCGCATATTCCTTTTCAAAGCCTCCCACACGCTTTTCTTCTCTCCATGGAGAGAAGAAGGTTTAAGCAAACTACTTCTCCGCCCTTACCGCAACTTCTGTCCTTTTTTTCTTTTTTTTTTGTTGCTGCTGCGCACGCTTATTTACACACATATATATATATAAATTTTTCCTGCACCTCAACGCTTTGAAGTGTGTCAAACGGAAGGGAGAAGAAACGCAAAACGGGGAAGAAGACAAAGGCACAGACAACGACAAAGTCAACAACGTCAACAACATTAGAAACAGTGCGTGGAACTCGGAGGCTTTAGGCGCAACGGTCTCCATCGCGGAGCGAAATGGGCGTGCATGGACTATGGCGCCTCCTTGACACCTTTGGGGAAGTAACGCAACCGGGCGACTGGCGTGGCAAGCGGGTTGCGGTTGACGCGAGCATTTGGATGAGTCAATTTCGGGCCCAATGCGCAGCCGGAGAAAATGTGGAACAGCGCATTCTTGAGGGATTTTTCTTACGCATCCTTAAACTTCTTTTCTACGGTATTGAACCCGTCTTTGTCTTTGACGGAGCGGCCACAACCTTGAAGTCGATGGAGCGACGACGGCGAGCGGAGCGTCGGGCAGCGCTGGAGCGCGCGGCTCTCACTCGTCGCGCCAAACAGATCGTCCAGGCCCAGTTGGCCTCGGGCGTCTTGGACTTACGTGCGTTGGATCAACAGAGCCCAGTGAAGGCGGGCGATGCTCGAATTGCGCAACGCGCATCCCCAGGCAGATTGCCTGTTGCCGTGACAGGCGGTTGTGGTGCTCCTTCGCGGAGATTAATGTGCAAACGAAGGCGTGAAATTGTGCTGGAGCCAGACATCGTCTCGAGAACTCTGACGAATAATTTCTTGACAGAGGCGGAGGAATGGATGGAGGAAAAGAGGCGCGGCGAAATGTGCGTTGAGGCCAACACGCTCTTGTACTCGAGCACTTCCCTCTTCATGGGGCCTCGACGGGTGTTGGAAGGAAAAATAGATGCATCCATGGCGTCCGCCGTGCAGACTGTGCGCGACAAAAATCCCTCACAACAAGTGGTTCCTTCTTGCTTAACTAGCGGAGCATCCTCGGTGGTGAGCTCGGATGATGGCATAATTAGTAATAATGACTATGAAACAGTGCCCACTAGCACAACTAGTGGGGACTCTGTTGTAATTGTAGAAGAAGATAGAGAGACGTTGGTGGATCGTCTCCGTGAGCTGGAGGAGGTAAGGAGTCATTCGTTGCATGACGACTCTTGCGAGACGTGGTCAGAAAAGGCTATGGTGAAAAGCGACGGCGACATCCTCTCTTCATGCGGCGATGGAGGTGACAGTCGTGATGGCAGCACAAGTGACCATGCTGCGGATGACTCGGTCCAGCTGTGGAACCCTGGTACCCAACTAAATTGCCGAAGGAGCGCTGAAACCACAAGTATGCAGCGCGAGGTATCTGAAGGAGGGAGTGGGCAGTATGCACCTGTTTCCCTTCGCCCCGTTGAACGGCAAACTGGTGGGGAGACAGATGCACGAGTAGCACTGGATATTACAGGCGCACTGGGTGTCAAAAATTTAGCGGCAGCACCGTTGCCTTTCCATCCGTCGCGCACGCCGACGCCGACTTCAGCTCCAAGGCCAGCATCAGCATCATCAACAACGAGCAAGAACTTAAGACAAGTTATACCGTTTGAATTGTTGGAGATTGCCGAGCTACTTGACTGTTGTGGGATTCCATTTGTCCTGAGTCCTCATGAAGCGGATGCACAGTGTGCCTTCCTGAGCCAGCAGCGGCTTGTGGATGCGGTGTTCTCGGAGGATAGCGACGTCATTGTCCATGGCGCCACGGTTGTGCTGCGGGGATTCTTCGCGAAGGACCGTTATGTGGTGGCCTATCGTCAGAGCGATTTGGCGACGTGTGGCGTGGACAAGGACGTCTTGGTCGCGCTTGCACTTTTGCTTGGATGCGACTACGCGGAGGGTGTGGACGGAGTCTCCTTGTTGGAGGCGCTACGCATAATCACTGCCTTTTGGGGCCAAGGGAGCGAACAAGGCCCCACGCATGTGCTGGAGATGTTGACGCAGTGGAGGAATGCCGTGGCCCAGCGTCGTTTTGTCTGGGATGACGAAAGCACCCTCTTGCAGTTATACTTGAACTGGAGGAAGTGGACCTCGCTGCGGGTGGGCATGGAATTCCCGAACGCCCACGTCGTGGGTGCCTTTTTCAACGCCACCGTGAATACGGACCTAAGGTCGTTTGCAGTGGCGTCTCCGGACTGGAAGCGGCTGCGGACCTTCGCCGGCATGCACGGCTTGCTTGGCAGTGTGACGTGCCAGCAAAGGCTGGAGTTGGCTCAAAAGGAATTCATGGCAAGGGAACTTCGGCGTCAAGAGGAACGCAACAAGCGACAGTGGCGTCTGACTGATTTTGCGATGCCATCACAGATAAAGGAGACTGTGATTTACAAGAAACAGCCGCCCAAGTTTGAAGCGGCGCTCTCCGCCTTGCGTGCTGCCAGGCGAGGCGGGGTTAGCTTGGATGGCTGACCTCCTTTACATCCTGGGTCGCTGAGGGGGGAGTTGTATTTGCGCGTGTGTGTTGTGTGTGTGGGAGTATGCGCGTGGGGTCCCACGGTGCCGCACTCTTTTCATCGATGGGCTCTTTTCTTCTTTGTTGGTTTGATTCCTTTTCCTCCTCAAGAGAATAGAAGGCAACAACAACAAAATTAAAAAAAAAGAGAGATATAGAGGGATAGATAGGGAGTGAGCACGCTCTCTCGCGCGAGAAGACGAGAAATTGGAGTCAACGCAAAACACCTTTTGATTCTCTTCTAGAGTAGGAAGGCAGAGGCGAGGCAAAGAGAAAAATAAAAAAAACACCAATGGCTCAGTTGTATGCGGCAGACGGACATGTGGACGGCAGAGAGGACGAGGCTCACGCCGCGGCGATACATCAAGCTCTTCATTCCTCTGCGGAAGAGATGCCTGCCTTGGAGTTCGCCGAGATTGGGGGCAATCGCTCAAAGAGTAACGTTAGTTTTGGCCTCCCGCCATATGAGCCACGGTATCCAACTGACCAGCGGGGCAGTGAAGCTTTTCTGAATGTTCCCTGGGATTTGCGCAAACCAACCGTGTCGGACCGTTGTGGTGTTTTTGAGGGTTTGCTTTCTAAAAAATTCTGGAGGCACTCGGAGTTCGCGCTACGAATCACACTTCTTGCCGTGCTACTGCCTGCTTCTCTCATCGCGGCGGGGCTACCCAACTCGCCCTTTATTTCACCGACGTATCCTGTTTCTGCAGCGGTGCTGGCCTCCAGGATTACGGTGGGTGAAGGTCTAGTGTACCTTGTCACTTGGATTCGTGCCGGTTGTATTTGGCTTCCGCTCGCAACTATTGGGGCGGCTCTTCGCCTCGGTGAGTACACCATAGGATGGTGCTGCTTCTACACCCTGCTCCTGTTCGTGATGGCGGCAATCACGGAAGACATGGTTCGACGCATCTGTCTCCTTTTGTTCAACAGCTGTATGATTGGCATCCTCATCGATCCAGGGCGTGGTGTGGTGTACCCTTCACGAGTCATGACAGACTGGTCCATTGGCACAGGTCTTTGTCTTCTTGCAACTTTTCTGCCGTACCCTCTTTTTTGCAGCAAAAAGGCCCATTTTAGCCTTACTCAGATTGCGCGAAACACCGGAACGGCGTTGAAGGGTATGTCATCCTGCTTTTGGTCAGAGTCCAATGTTAAGCGAAATATGGCAATGACAAAGGTTCGTATTGTAAATGCGGCCATCGATGCGCAGATGAGCGAATTTAATGTAGCGCAGGAGAATTCATTTTACGAATTTATGTTTGAGGGCTTTGAGAGGTGGGATGTACGTAAAGCAAAGGCGAAACTCTTCTCAAGGCTACGTTCCAACCTGGGGAGCTTGTCGCGGGTCCTTGACATTGTGGAGTCCAAGCCGTGGGTGGTGGATGACTCCGCGAGGTCAAATGCCTTTGGGGAGTACATGCGTCCACATATCCTTAACTTTTCAACCTCGCTCGATAACCTTACTAATGCGCTTGCCTCTGCCAAAACCTTTCGAGGCATAAAAGAGCTTCACGGTCTTTTTGTGGAACTGAATGATGCCACCGTAATGCTCCAGGATGAGTTTGGTCACGCCCGCCGCAGACTCTTTTATGAACTTAAACCGGAAACCTTGGAAGAATTTGTGCCATTGATGACGTTCTTCTTCTTCTCCATTATTAACTTCCGAGACACCCTGCTGCAGTTTGACTCCCAGGTGCACCACAGAGAGGCTCATCTGAAACACTCCATCAAGAAAGTTCTGCACAAAGCTGTGTGGAAACCTATCTGTGAAAATGTTTTATTTTTCCGGCTACTTGTGATGCGGCGGCACCGCAGAGAGCTTCAGCGCCTGATAGAGGCAGCAAAGGTGAGCGCGGCGATGATATTAACCGTTGGATTTTCGTTTCTTATCAAAATTGACAAGGCGTCAATCTCCGGGCCAAATATCATCGCCTTTGTGTCTGGAGCCAACCCCGTTGAAGCCCTGCAGGCCTCCATCGTGCGTCTCACGGCGTGTATTTTGGGTAGTGTGCTGGGCTTCTTTGCTGGGACGTATTCTACAACACCTGTCGAAAAAGTCGCCTCTCTCTGCGTGCTTATGTTTGTGGGCACCTTTTTCCGCAGCGACAAACAGTACGGTATTATGGCGGTGTTCGCAATGTTCGTTTTGATTCCACTAGACAGTGTGACAAGTGTGACTACCGAAGACACCATGGCGCGCATGAACCAAATTACATTTGGTATGCTTATCTATGTATGCATCAGCGTCCTTGTGTTTCCGCTGAGCCCTGGGCTTATTCTTTGCAAGAAACGCATCAGAATTCTCTTCATGCTGAGCGAAGTATTTACAGCACTTTGCGATATGTTTACAGAACCTCTCCCTGTTGGAAGAACCTGCTCTACCGCGTTTCCTATTCCTCATGAGCCCGGCACTCGTAACGGCCCTGATGGTGGCAATAACGTGTCTGAGGAAGTAGTTTTGACAAATACGAGCACACGCCTAGTTGTACGCACCGATCATCGCATGCTGGAGGTTAACCTACTCCTGGAAGAAATTGAGGGGCGCCTTAAGAAGACATATCCCTTCATGGGATTTGCTCGCGAGGAGCGTGGACTTGTGGATGCGGATTATCCTGCAAAAGCCTGCGAGAAAACCTCTTATCACCTGTATCGCATGCTAAGCTTATTGAAAACCATGTGGTGCAGCTGGAATGTTTTAAGAAGTCAAAGGTATTACACCCCCGATACACGACACGTACTCCAGAGCCTGCAGCCGATTGGCTGGGATGCGTGCTGCGCGTTCAAGCGATTTGTGGGCATGCTTTGCTACGTACTGCGCAACCCTGCGACGGCGTTGGAAATGGAACTTATCCACGTTGTGCTGGAGCTTATTCAGGCCACAGAGGAAATGCACCTTCGCAAGAATCATATAATGCTGATTCTGATCTGCAACTCCGTGGAGAAATATGGGCGTCGGGGGAAGGATCCGGTTCACAACGCTGCGGAGGGGGCAAAGGACCGGTCAAATTTGCAAAAAAAAAGCAAGCCGATAACGTTGGGCGTGGACAGCCCAGGACTGTCAGGCGAGATTGGGTCCGTACTTACGCTACTTCGCAAGGGTACAATGCCCAATCTACAAGATGAAAGTGCACCCTCGGTAACGGAGGAAGTGAGGCTTTCCGAAAGCTTCGTCATGCCTGTCACGGGAGAAGACGCGGAAGGGCTTCACTCATTCACGCTAAGTGCGCAGATGTTTGCGGATGAGGCAAAACTGTTGTTAATGAGCCTCGAGGAGATGCTGGAGCACTCGCGGAAAAAAATATAATGTGGCGCCCACGACTAGGAATCGGATGAAAAAATAAACACGGTTTTGATATATGCAAGGTGTGGCGCCTAGGGGGCGGAACAGGCCTGAGTGGGCTGGAGGAGGAGCCTCTGTGTGGAGGTGGGCCACAGTGGTGCAAGCAGCTTATATGTCTTGCGCTGGTGTCTCCCCACTCGCGCGCTCCCCCCCCTCCCTCTCTCTCTCTTTCTTTCATAGCACTCCCCAGCTTAACCCTTCCCCCAGCTCCCCCTTACACCTTGCCACATATATCCCTTCTTTTTTTTTAGTGTTTTTTCGGTCTTCCTGAAAGGATGGTGTGCTAAGGCTATATTCGAGATAAGTGGGCGCATTCAGCTTTTGCTGGACGCCTCGCTCGGCGGGGGGTGGGGGGTGCGTAAGGGTGCAGGTATGTGCCACTTCCTCTGTGCCTGTGGGGGGCAGTAGAGCGCATGCGGATATGAGTTGAGAAGAAACGCCCTTGCGAATAGGTGGGCAGAGCGAGAGAGGGAGGGGAAGGGGTGTCTGGGGTATAAGGAACAGATGGCGCAATTGCGATCTGCCTCCTTGACTTGGTTTGTATTGCAAAATAAGATGATAACGACAAACACCAAAGGTGGTTTCTGCGGAACCGATTGCTTTCCCCCTTTTGCCTCTAGAGACATGCGTTTTCCCGACTGCTTTTGTTGTCGAGGCGTTGGTGCCTTGCAGCGGCCGCACTCTCGATCCCCCTCTCTAGTTCCCCAACTCCGCCAACCTTAAAGAGAGCAAATAAAGGGAAGTACTGCACACAGCGCATATATGTCTCTTCTATGTGTTATTTAAAAAAAAAGAAAGAAAAAAACTTTTCCCAACAAAAGTTCCTGTAGCAAAAGCTTCTCTTCCTTAAGTTTATTGTCCCGATTTATTTATTTATTTTTAAATGTATATTGTTGTTTTTGGCGTTTGCGGTGGTTTTCGCCTTTTTGCATGCCGTTGACTTGCATGCTTGCTCACAACCTCGCTTGTTCACACCTTGTGTGTGCCTCTTTGTGTACGTTGCGCGAATTATATCTCTGGTCTTTTTTACTCGCGGCTCGCTGCGATGCCCCTTTCTTCCGGCGGCGTCGTTGCCTGCGCGTTGAGCCGTCGGCTTCCATAGCCGTGGTCTTGTGGACGCCACACGGCGATGGTGAAAGGGGGCGGATGCCTCTCTGGAACTTGTGCTCCACGAGGGAAACGAAGCGAACGCCGGTTCCCCTCGTCTGGGTGCATCCGTGTCCGCCATGGGGCAAGGCGGGGTGGTGAGGGCAAGCTGCGAGGGGGCAAAGGAAGGAAGTTGGGCGATGCTCTCGATACCGTACGGATGCAGGTGGAATGCGGAGGGGGGATATAAATAAATGTGGAGGATAATAATACTGGATAATCTCAAGAAGTAAATAAAAAATGAAACCCGTGGCCGTATACACAACTGTGTGCTTGCTTTTATTTATTTGTTGTGCCTTTGCGTTGCCTCTCTCGTTCATCGTCGCATTTTTATTTATTTATTGTTCTTCCGGGCATGCAAAATTTATATATATAAATAAAAGCGAATAGAAAAGGGGGGACAACAGACAAACGAGAAGGAGGACACGTAGCGTGTGGAGCTCCTCCTGGGTGCTTCGTGTGTCCTTGGGCGGTTACATAATTTTCCGCGTGGATTTTTAGTGTGTCGTTCAACGGGGCAGAAAGTATGGCATCCAATGTGCATGCTCTGACGAATGAATCCTTCGCAACCACGGCCGTGGTGGCGTTGGAAGAAGAGCACCTTCCGGAGAACATATCCACGTTGGAAATAGTGAAAAAGTTTATTGTGACAGGTATCCCCCTCACTGTGGCCACACTCTCGCAGTTCTCTATTATTACCGTCATACTTGCCATCGTAGGAAGGATGTTGGGGGTGAATGAACTTGGAGGGGCCTCATTGGCACTTGGACTTATTAATGCGACGGCATTTGCGTTTGCAGCCGGCTCCTGTGGGGCGCTTGAGACTGTCCTATCTCACACGTATGGTCGTTATAAGTCCGGTGGAGAGGGAGGTACGATGTATATGTATGGCACCTACGTTCAGCGTATGCTTATTATTTTGATTTTTGTTAGCATCCCTCTTGGAGTAATTTTGATATATGCTGATGCATTTTTGGAGTATATTGGGCAGAGTGAGGAGGTTGTGTATTACACTGGACGTTTTTGCCGCATCGCAGCTTTTGGTATCCCAAGTACACAGGTTTTTCAAGTGATTGGCCGTTATTATGCCTGCCAACATGAGACGCGACCCCTTTCAGTGGTGATGATCGCAGCATCTTTCTTTAACCCCGCCTCTCAAGTATTGCTAATTTATTGGTTTGGTTTTGAAGGTTCCCCTGTGGCATGGTTGTTGTTGTTTACTTTTATTGACGCGGCTCTAATTGCGCACGCCTATTGGACAGGGCTTTATAAGAAGACTTGGGGCGGCTGGGACAGAAATGCACTTAAAAATATTAGTGCTCTTGTGAACTTGGCCGTTCCATCAATGGCAATGATGATGAGTGAGTGGGTCGTACTGGAGGTGATTTCCATTTGTGCCGGGTTTGCGGAGCCTCACGAATTGGCCGCGTTTGCTATTACGATGCAGGTGTTTGGCGTCTGTTGGAGCATCGCATCTGGGACGATGATTCTTGTCTGCGTACTCATCGGCAACGCCATTGGTGAAGGTAAGCCGTTGCTTGGAAGGCGCATTGCCAACGTGGCCATCGCGATCGTGTCTGTCACTGCTATATTTGATGTTACGCTCTGTTGGCTTTTAGAGGATCGCATCCCTTTCCTTTTTACGTCAGAGGAAAAGGTGGTTGTGGTGTATCGCCGTCTGCTGCGCTACGTCCTGCCGTATCATCTGTTTGATACCTTTCAAAGTACGGTCATGGGAATTCTGCGTGGGTGTGGGCTACAAAAGCTTGGGGCAATTATTATCGGTTCCGCACTCTGCCTAGTGGGGGCGCCGGTGGCGTTTTTCCTCTTTTTCCACGTTAAGTATGGTGTGGAGTCCCTTTGGATTGGCCCATTCTTTGGCGTGGTGGTGCTGGGGTGCCCGTCGTACGTCTACCTTCTCTACTGGCACATTGATTGGCCGAACTTGAAGCCACACCAAGAGGAGTCGAACGTCGTGCTGGAGGAGTTGTCGGAAGCCGTGGAGGAAGCGGAAGTAACGGTCGAGTCGGGGGAGGGCGCCGTGCAGCGCTCTGAGGCTGACGCGGCCAAGGAGCATGAGGAGGCAAAATAATAACAAAAGAGAATAAAAAGTTGGGGAGGATGCGAGGAAAACAAAACAAAAAACAAGGAGTCAACAAATAACAATGTTTTTTTTTTGTATTGGGGGAAAAAAAAAACAGTTTCCGCCGAGGTGAGATTGTTTTCAACACGTTTTTGTAACTTTTTCTTGTTGTTGTTGTTTTGTTGTTTATTTTTTAACTCACCACTAATTTTATTCTGATCGCGTTTTCACCACGGAGATTCTTTTTACAGCAGGATTGCCTTATCAGTAGGTGTGGGCCCTCTCACCCCCCCCCCATTGCTGTATTTGAGCTTTTGCTTTCCTTCCTTTTTTAAAAATTTCTTTGCTTTCATAATTTTCCTTCTCCTCCTGGTGCTCTACGATTTTTTTTTCTTCTTCTTTGCCTCTGAAGGATGCGATGGAGTATAAAAAGCTGGCCAACGGCCCGCCTCAGGAGGAATGCGCCGAGTGTGTAGTGCCTACGCAGAGGGAACTCCTTTTGGAGGTTCTGCGCATAGGTGTTCCGCTGTCAGCTTCTCAGCTATCGCAGTTTAGTTTTATGATCGTCATGTTTTTTTTCGCAGGTCATCTGGGTGTGGAAGAGCTAGGAAGTGTTTCCATCGCTCTCGGCATTCTCAACGCGACCGGATTCGCTTTTGGCAGTGGACTCTGTGGGGCGCTGGAGACGCTTTTATCGCATTCCTACGGACAGGATCCGCGAAGCATCATGTACGGGGTTTATGCCCAGAGGATGTTTCTTATACTCATGATTTTTACAATTCCTCTGGCTATTTTGCTGAGTTGCTTGACGCCAATATTGGTAGCTATCGGTGAACCTGCTCATGTGGCGGCGGAGGTGGGCTCATTTTGTGTCATCTGCGTCATTGGATTGCCGCCGATTATGTTGTTGGAACTGCTTCGACGTTATTATGCGAGTCAGCACCGCTCGAATCCGGTTTTTGTGGCCTTGGTGATGGCCGCAATTATAAATCCACTCCTACAGTACGTCTTTGTCTATTTTTTTGGATACAAAGGGATTGCGTTGGGGTGGGTGATTCTTCTTGTGGCCATGGATATCGCCCTACTTGCCTACCTTAGGCTGAGCGGTCTGTATCGTTATACGTGGGGTGGCTGGAGCAAGGCGGCGCTTAGCAACTGGGTTCCCATCTTGAAGCTGGCTATTCCATCCCTTGGGATGGCCTTTAGTGAGTGGAGTGCAATGGAGGTAAATTCCGTCTGTGCAGGTTTTATGCCTTCTGTGCAGTTGGCTGCATATGCCATTAGTAGTCAGGTGGCGAACCTATGTTGGAGCGCGGTGTCTGGCTTTTTTATGGCCAGCACCGTCTTGGTAGGGAATTGTGTTGGCGAAGGCCACCCACAATTGGGACGACGCTACGCAATTTTGTCCTTCATAGTTGTGTTAGTCGTCGCCTGCGTGAACGTCACTGCGGCCTGGATCTACCGAAAGGAAATTGCTTATGTATTCACTGAGGACAGCGAGGTTGTATCTATATTCGCGGAAATTACTCCCTTTTTCTTGGTGTATCACATGTTGGATTCCATCCAATGCAACTTTTTGGGGATTTTGCGCGGCTGTGGGCTTCAGGTCGTTGGCGTTGTCATTGTTTTTGTGGGCCTGACGATTGTAGGAATGCCGCTGGGTCTATTTCTTCTTTTTCGCTGTGGCTATGGCGTCAAGGCGTTGTGGATTGGCCCTATTGTGGGCTGCACGTTGCTGGGGATTCCGGCGTACCTGTTTGTCTTCCTCTGCCGCATCAAGTGGGAGCGGCTCCGGCCCTACGTGGAGGCGCCCCCCGGCGAGGTCGTGCTCAGTGTCGTCACCTCTTCGACTGAGCCGTGAGGCACACGCGACAATACGTTTTGACCCACACCACTTCCTTGGGCGTCTGTTTGTCTTCGTTTTCTTTTCCTCTTTGCACCACTCTTACGCAACGTACAAAAGCAAAACAACAACAAAAACGAGAGAATAAAGGTGGTAAAGAAAAGAATGATAGTGCGAAACAACAAAATCAACAAAACTAAACCATTCTCTTCGCCTAACTCGTCGGAGGGGCACTGGGTTTTCTCCTGAGAAGAACAGGGTCGTTCGTTACATGAGGCGCCCTGCTTGTTCTGTTGAGACTCTCAACTGCTACCCGTGTAGTCTGACTCTCTAAACATTGTGTGTCTCACTCTCTTGCTTCTTCCACGTTTGTTTGTTTGTTTGTTTGTTTGTTTTTTGGGAGGGGAACTTGCGAGAGAAATGGCTGCTCCTTGCGGAGCTTTTGTTTTGCTTTGCCGAGTAGATCCCCGAGTGACAAAACATCTTGCTTTCAATCTTGCGCTGTTGAAGTTGCGCAACGACCAAGTTTTGAATGCCCACTCCACACATCCCGGTCCGCCCCCCGCCTCGCACGGGAGTCGGGCTAAATGCCGTCTTCGGCACCTCCTTTTTTCCGTGTTTTGACGACTACGCACAAGGTGCAGCTGCCTTGGAATGGCGCTTGCTTACCGGAAAGAGCTCGCTGGATTCTTGGCGGAACCCGTGGAAAATGAACGTATGCGCATTGTGCGTTGCCTTCCTCTCGTATTCTACTAGGGGGTA